TATTAGCTCTGCAATTTTGTTAGAAATTGATTTTCCTAAACAGCTATCAGGAGAAGTTTCTGACTGGTTTCCTGAATATGATGAACTATGAACACCATGTGTTGAAAGTTCTTCGCTTTTTGTTTCATCCATTGGTACCTTAGAATCCAAGTCAGAATCCCAACTTGCTTTGCCATTTTCCAGTCTTGGAAAATCATAAACACTACTATCGCTTTCCGCAATGCTTGACTGATCATCTAAACAGGTTTCACTTTTACTGCCCAATTCACTACCACTGCCATCTCTGGTCGCACTAAGTAATCGTCTTCGTTTGGAGTACCTCACGTCAAGACCTTCCAGAAGACTAGGATCTTTTAGTTTTCTTCTCTTTCCATTTCTCAAAACTCTAGCTGGGGAATCTGACCTTGTAACATACGGTGTATTACGACCTCTCACTCCATTCCGTACATCTGGATTTCCAGTCAATAATTTCTGTGTGGCAAACCTTCGTAATTTTGGACTCTGTACTTTTGTAGTAGTAAAGTTTGAATCATCTGATACATTTGTATCCTCATATGTTCTGCTCCCCTGTTTACCGCCTTTCGAAACCTTGTTAGTCTTACACAGTCGTGAGCTCTGCAAGCGTTTTGAATCTTTTGAAAGTGAAAATAATTCATTACCTAAGTTTGTCCCACTTTGAGATGTTCCTGTCTTTTTTAATTTATTGGTTTTACGCAATTTGGGGTTTTGAGAACCCCCTGCAGGTTTCCAACATGTAACAGAGCCAACAGCTAAACTACCAGGATCTTTTACAGATGTTTCTATAGCCTCCAAACACTTTCTTGATTTAATGCCACCTGTTGATCTCTTTTTGACAGCAGATTTCTTTCCTTGATTCACATCCTTCTGCACTTGTTTTGATTCTCTTATTTTACTATTAACTTCATCGTCTTTCGTAGTTTCCGTTACTTTACCAGTTTTATCAATTTCTTTTCTAACCCCTAATTGCTTACTGCTGAGTGGTTTTTTTTCTCTACCAGCCATCGTAATTTTCAGTCAACATCTGTAACTAAAGGAATAACTGAATTAGTTATGACACCTCAAACTCGTACCAGTATATACTTTAATTCTGAAAGGTCACTTACCACAGAAAACACATTATTCGTGCTATACATTACAAATGGAAGCATGATACACGGCCAGTGTTTTCATAAGTATAGGAATTTTTTGCATATTACAGCAAGATGGGAACAGCAGCAACACAATTAACATTAAGACGAAGAATGAGGTAATAAAATTATGTTCTGCTTTTTTATTCATTAATGTTCTCATATATTTAAAACTGTCAATAACAAAGGGCAATATCACTATGTGATAATCGGTAAAAAATTACATTTTATTCTTAAACAAAAGACGATCGGAGGTGAATCAGTAATACTAGCAACATTTTAAGTTGCGTTTCTAACACTTACGCTATACTATGCCTTAAATATCCCTTGTAGAAACATTCAGCATACCTTCTCCTGTATTAACCATTATAAAATCTTACACCAAAGCCCCTCGCTATTACGAAAAATTGTTTCAAAAGTTGGAGATGAAGCACACACTGAAAACACCTTCCTTGTTTCGTGTTCTATAGCGCCACCTATGCTCAGAGACGCACGTAGGCCCTAATACGTTCAAAATGTATATTAGAAACGAAACACATTCATACACCTGTCTGGTAAATAAACTGAACTGAATATCTACACTTTCAGCTAAGGCTGTAATTAGTTTCAAAATTAACATATGCAATCAAATATAATTAAATGATAAAATAATGATGCGCGCTTTCTCCATATTGGCAAATAGTCACAGCCGCCAGAATCCGACTGAAGCGGTTATTTATAAGGCTGTGATCAGTCTGCGAACAAAATAAACATGGTTTAGGAAGGGGGAGTAAGAAACCATGCCATTTGTGTAATAATCATATAATTGTGCTGCTGAATGGTGTAATTTTATAATTTATTCTGTTAAGTATTACAAACATGGCATCCAGAGGATTAGCCATCAGGTGCTTGCAAATAAAGAAATTCGGGCAGTTGCTTCCTTCATGTCAGACGGTGCATGTAATATCGGTAGGGCATTTATCTTGAAAACATATAAGTTATTATGCAGTCATTGAGTATTTTTTGTTAAATTTTCTGTTGCCTTGCATTTTGAATAGTCGATAAGAATCATCAATTTCGTGTAAGATTTAAGTTACTGAGTGCATTTGTAATCTCATTCTTTGAGGTTATGATTGGAAGGGTTGCTGACTGACATCAATAACTTTGATGTCCACAGGTGCAACCTACAAGAGATTCCTCGTACCGGTCTAACAAACCTATTGGACCACCAAGTCTGTATACCGATGTAGAGATATCCACATCACCTGAAGAATGGAAATTTGTGGAAAGGCTTCTACCTAAAACATTTGTTCCAAAACCCACAGTAAAATCAGACTATCCATCAGGCTGGAAACCACCTGCTGGTAAGAACAATTTCATATGATACAGTTCATTTTCAGAGTCATAACTATTTAAAATGCATTTTTAATTTTCTGTTAGAATCATCTTGCAGTCATCCATATTATGTTGAACGAAATAGGAATCACATGTACCCACTGTACCTCAAAATACAAGGTCGTGGAGAAAAGAAGACTACAAAATTAAAACATATTCACGGAGACATTTGGGTATGTTGAAAAATTATTTGTATAACAAAACTGGTTGAGTTAACTGTGTGTTTGCAATAATGGTAAATTTAATTTCTAATGTATACCTCACTTATTTAATTTTTCAGGCCCTACATGATGATTTGAAAAAGTACTTGGAAGAAAGGAGCAAAAAGTATGTATTTCTGCAAATACAGGAAGTTTCTGGGCACATAAATATTAAAGGAGATCATTTCAGTATTGTTGAAGAGTGGTTACAAGATAACGGATTTTAATTTGATGATGCAATAGTAGGATAAATTGCTATGTATATTTACATACAGGTATATATACCCAAGTGGATAATTATGTCATGTTCACTAAGCTTTGTAATGATGCATTAGTCTTCACTGTAATAGATAAATTATATAGAACTCAAAGTTATTCCTTGTATTATTGAAATGTGAAATAAAAATATCTGGGATTTTTATTCAGTGTACCAAATGAGATGAATCCTAAAATCTGGACTGTGACATAGGATAACTACTGATCCTTGGTTTTTCTTGCTCGTCACTTTTCACGCCCACTTCACTGTCCACTGTTCACAGGGTGTTTGAAAAGTGACGAACAAGAAGTACAAAGCAACAACAACATATCAGGATTGCTACACTACAGACCAGGAGATATACAACAGGACAGCCATCTTCATACTCAAAGCCATGAGAACCTGGAATCTCATTAAAGACCTCTGTTATCCAACATTGTTATTGGTTTGTCTGTCAACTAGCCATAACTAAAACCATACCCAGTAAAAAGCATTGTCTTAGTGAATTAAGTAAGACTTACATTTTACATCTAAATACGAGATTAATATTATTTGTTGTGTGGAGATGGTCACTTAATCATATATGTGTGATAGGGAACGTTTCAGTAATCTCCATCATGCATAATAAAAAAAAAGATATTACCTCAAGAGTATTATCTTATATTAGCACAAATATGTATAATACTAATGGAGACTGATCTTTAAAAAACAACCACACCATTAGCACCAGGTGTTCACACCACTTTCATTTCAATCACAACAGATATTGCTAAGAAAAGTAATAATCATGTACGTGACAAAAGACTATACTTAAAAGCAAAATTTACAATAAATATATGAAAGTTTTATAACAATTCACAGCATGTAAATTTCCAATTCAAATCTCATACCTTCAATCTTCATAAGGCACTTCATAAAGAAACATCACATACAAGACAGCAACCAGCGTTGCAGTGGAAGACTAGTTTACAAAGTAGCATCCATATTGAAAGGAAGTTACATAAATAGGGTGAGTAACTTATGTAAATTCTTGCAACAAATGTATCATGTGTTCATGCACAATCATTAACATGCCACTGACGCTTTCAATCTTAATGAAGACAAAATTTGATGGTTGCATGTTTACCACAATTCACTTGATTGCAAAAATTTAAACATTTGAAGTATGTCTGTAAATATAAATATACCTCTTGCCTTCAAATCTCAATTTATAAAATAATTGTTTGTAATGCATAGTGTGCTTTCTTATTTGGCAGAGATGTTTCATTCATAACAGAGAAGGAATTTTCAAATTTTATATTCATCACAAAACATAATTTGTCAGTATCATGCAGAAAGTCATTACCTAACATCTTTATAACTCCATTTAAGTAGTGCATAAAACTGAACTTGTTAGGAAGCAATTGTCAAAGAAGTCACTGATATCTTCATGTTTAGCTACAGAAAGAATTTGACATTTAATTAAATGCTGTTTTGATGCAGGTGACAGAAGAATTTTAAAGCTCACTTTTCTCAAAACCATATAAAATGAAGTTAGTGACTTACATGACATCAACAATTTGTATAAATAAATAAATGGATAACTGTGAAAGCAAAAAGGCACCTATCAAAATATCAGACTGACTGGTATTTTAGTTCCAGATCCTTCAATGATAAAACTCAGAGAATAGCCATCTGCAGAGATTTTAAATGTGACACAAATTCTGTCATTTTTCTCTATTTCCCTTCAAATCCCATATTTTGATTCTCTTTTTATTCTATATGCCCTTGTTGTATTCAGATCTGAGTTCTGTGACTAGGAATTGGTCAGAGATGGCTCTTTTCTGGGTTGTAGCACCGTGTAGTCTGGTAGAAGTTTATCAACACTTCTGAGGTCCTTGCTACCTCCATCATCAGGGTGATGAGTCACTACAGATGTTACAACCCATCTTTGTACTCACCGCCATGAGAACCTCAAATCCTACCTAGGAATTTGTCCATTACTTGACCTCAGAACATGAGTCAATAGTTATTCAACTGGTCATATAATTCTCTGTTATACAAACTGAACATTCATCATCATTATGCTCAAAAAAGTCCACCAATTACCTTCATCCCAAGCTAGTTAAAATTAATTTACATTTTCATAATATACTTTTCTGATATCAATATTATATCCCAATAAGGGCCAGAGGTTATACAGCCTATGACACTAAGGTGCTGAAGTCTCTGCTTACAAAAAAACTGTCGAATGAATAGTTGCATCTCAGTAAAATCATTTGCCTTGATTGGGATATATATTGTCCTCACGTCGATACATAAGGTATTTATTCCACATGGTATCATCCGTTGTGGTTTTTCAACCCAAATTCTCTGTGTATATCCCATCCTTTTTTTTAATTAATTACCTAACAGTATCAAGGTAAAATATAGATATATCAGACCCAACCCAGATGTCTCATATCCTGTTTTTTTTTTTTTCATTCTGAGGAACATTGTTACCAATACTAAATCGACAGTCACTGACAAATTTAGATTTACAATTTCTATAGTCAAATACATTCTGTTTTACATTATTCTTGAATCTTCACCAAGTTTACAGTGCTAATGCTACTTTTAAATTAATCATGTGGTCACACCTTCCACAAGGAAACCATGTATCTATCTGATGAAGCTTTCATAATACACAAGGAATGCCCAGAGCTACTGGAAATTAACTTTCTAAAAATTAGTAAAGAACTATTACCATCTTATCTAAAGGTTTCTGATGAAGGTATGTCATTAACTGATGCATATTCTTGAATACTTCATCTTTTCATTTAAAAAAACACGTCAGAACCTGGTTCTGCTTTCGTCATTAGGTAAAACCATACAACCTAATCAGTTAGATCTGCTGGAAAGCACTAATCTCAGCTTCTGAAACAATATGTATTCTTACATTTTTAAATTAATAGGTGAAGGAAAATTTCCAAGAATATGCATCAGTCTTGCTATGGTGATCAGAAGCCAACATTGACATGTATGCAGTTAAATAGAGACTGAAGTAACCTTCTAATGGTCTCCTCACCCTTCAGAAAGTTTACCTTTTATCGTAATTAATAAACAGTTTGGCATGTGGGTGACATAACAATTCAAAGGAAATGATAGCAACTCTATTAGTTAATTGAAAATTCATTTGACTATGAACTTGACTTCATGACTTGACTGCTATTCAGAACTGAAACCCAAGAAAAATACTTCCAGCACTTCATGGCCAAGACTTCCACTGCAACCATTACTAGCCCATTAACAGTCACACACACACCAAGTACTTTTCCCACAGTTATGCCAAGTTCAGTGTTTCTCAATTGATGCACCATTATTTTGTTATATACATAAGAAAAACAAATCTTGAGATGATGGAATGAGAATAGCAAGATGTCTGCATATATGTAGCACTGACGTAAACAAATGACTTGAGAGAGTTGAGCAGGCATTATCAATAATATATTTCAAAATACTACCCCAGCAATACCTTAGGAGAATGGCAATACTAATACATATGTGTATATAAAAACTGTTCAAATTTCATATGTAAACACCTCACACATGATAGCAGTGGCACTACATTCTCTGGTGCATTCTAATGCAGTGTGTGGACCAGACACTGATGAGGTGATAAAACACTTTAGCAATAATATATATACCATATATTAAATAAGTATATACATACAAATTAAATATGTTATGACATGAATCAAGAAGTGCTCACAGAATGCATACAAAAAAATTGTGTACTAAATTATGCGCTACAGTTGTTAGAGAAATATGAAGTATCAGCAGCAAGTTTGAAGCATATACTCAGCTTGTGCCATAAAAACTTAATTAACAATTCATTTGCGCAGTCTTCTAGTTTGCATGCACTCCATTTGAATGCACCAGCAAATACAGTGCTACTGCCAGACACTGCCATCACGCATGTCACCAAGCTCAGAATTAAGCGTGACCCACCTCCCACTGTAGCATATTAGTTTATAAAAAATTATCTGAAAAAAAAAAAAATTCCTTCTCACATTTCAATCCCTCTTTGTTCTACCATCAGTTAAATGTAACTTCATTTAAAGCATACAATTTGGTTACTATCTGGGTTGCAACACTAACATTTATTAACCTTTAAACAACGGGGATTTAAATGGCATAGTGATAGCAGCCCTATGGAGTTTCTTTGCAGGTTTTTAAAATTTTGTGCACGCTCTACAGAAAACTTTAATATTATCTAAAGTAAACATGATAAATTGACAAAATAAAAGCCATATTTATTCGAATAGAACAGAGAATACATAGTGTTCTTTAAAAATGCAGTTAATATCTTAATTGACTAAATAGGCCTTACTAACTTTACTTTGTTCTTTTGAAGCTCATTCGACATGGTTGTGAACTAATGACCACACAGAAAAATTTGTCTCCCGTACTTCAGTGGATACACATTCTCACCCATCATGCTGAGGAATGTGAGCTTTGATTAGGGGCCTGAAAACGAAGCTGAAACCCACTTGACAATAACAATGTTTAATTCTGTTTATGGTTATATTTTCCGGGTTGACATCTCATGCTGACCTTGTAAAAACCCTAGAGAAAGTGATTCAATATTTGCAGCCCCTAAAATAGGCCAAAAGACATAGCCAAGTCTTCTTACAATGTTGCAAGTTTTGAGGTCCCCTCCGGGAATGTTCGTAGGACTGACTACAAAACTTACATTCCCAGGCTGGGAACGCTAGTAAGATAAAGGTTAAAGTAGTGTGAACTTTTAACAATTTCTCATACTTTTACTTTTGTCATACATAATTAAAAAACACAATTTAAATCACTTATTAGGACTTACAACATCCTTAATGTATATGCTATATTGTCATTACCATTAACATATCATTTATTAAAACCAGTAACATCTTGTGTGTGTGTGTGTGTGTGTGTAGGTTCCCAACTGGTTTGGTGTTATCTTTTTGCTGCTTTCTCAAAAGAATGTAATTTTAAAGTAAAAATCTGAACTCATTACGAGCTTAGATGATTATCTGTGTATATGCATAAAAATCACAAAAATTACCAACACATGTATCAAATACTCAATACTATATTAAAAAACACTTTTTTAACTGCTTCAAGTTGAGAAAACACCACCTTTGTACAAAACAAAACTTTCGGCAGCTTGGCAATATTATGCAAACTAACAAGAATATGTTTTCATAGCTCAGAGAGTGAAGTTAACTGTTGCAGCGAAAGGAATAAAGTCTAATTTCACAGTATGTGGTAATGCATGGACATGAGTTAAATTTGATGCAATGGGAATAGGATTATGTATGATATGACTAAAGAAAAGTGAAACTGTTGAAAACTAACACTATTGAAATGTTAGGGTTGCAACCCAAGTACTAGTTAAAGTGTACTTGCAATGATGATCTTTTACAGTTGAATTACCTATTGACGGTACAAAGAGGAACCAAGACACATGAGAAACAAACATAAGTTTTTCAGAGATAAGTGTTGATAGTCAGAAGGGATAATTTTAATAAAATCATTCCAGTTCTACTTACAAAGTTAAAAGCACAATTACATTATTCATTCTAACCCTTGTACCAACAATACCAACAAAGATAATTGGGCAATACTCATGGCCACAATCATCAGTCCTTTTATATGCAGTACCTTCTTCCATTACATACACATCCCATTTATATTAAAAATCAGTAATTCAAAACTGTGAAGAAAGGAACTAAAAATCTACTGTGCAATACACTCATATCACCTCGGTGCTTCCATAAATGAGCATGCACTCAAACAACACATCAAGCAATGCTACATGTGACCTACTGCTCCAAATGTGACGCTAGCATAGCAGAGGCACAAACAGTAGAGAAACACAGTACTACAAAAGTGTTATCAAAAATATCACTATGTACATAACAATTAAGATTAAACAATCCTAGAGTCCATTCTGTAAAATATGGAATGCTGCTCCAAGCGCCCAACTGATTTCATGGCCATCAACTTGTTTATAGAGCTGAAAGACAAGTGTCAACTGATTATATAAGTTCATATAATTATTATTATTTTTAATGCGGATTTTATCATCGACATCCTTGTTGCTATTTTCATGTTCACCCACAAAATCAATATGAGGCGCGTACACAAAGTAAGTTTCCCACTCGTCCCACAGCTAGCAAACCTTAAATTGCGCGAAGCGACTGTGCGTACGTGATAGAGCAATGACATAGCATGGCGCATGCACTAACGGTACTTCCCGCGTTCTCACAGTAGCATCGTTGCAGCTGTTGAAGATGGAGGTTCTTATTCCAGCTCCCGCCGACTGTGAAGTGCGGTCAGTGATAAAGTTTTTGAATGCACAGAGCATAGCGCCGATCGAAATTCATCGTCAGCTGTGCCGGGTCTATGGGCCTAACGTCATGAGCAAGCAGATGGTGCGTCGCTGGTGCAGACAATTTTCAGCGACGGGCCATTCAGAACAAGCGGCGCGGGATGCTTAGTGCCGGTATTGTCTTCCTGCACGATAACGCTAGGCCGCACACGGCTCGACGGACAGCAAGTCTCCTGCAGGAGTTCAGCTGGGAGGTGTTTAATCATCCACCCTACAGCCCGGGCCTCGCTCCCAGTGATTTCCATCTTTTCCTACACCTCAAGAAATTCCTGTCCGGTCAGCGTCAGCGTTTTGAGAATGACAGAGAGGCGGAGATGGTTGTCACACAGTGGTTCCAATCCCAGGCGGCAGACTTCTACGACACAGGTATTCAAAAGTTGGTCCCACGGTATGACAAATGTCTCAATTCCGGTGGCGAATATGTTGAAAAATAGCTGGACACTTGCTGTATCTGTTGCAATAAATATTTCCATGAAATTGTGTTTTGTTTCTGTAAACGGCCCCAGGGAAACTTACTTTGTGGACGAGCCTCGTACAAGGCACTGCACCACTGGCTACTGGCCTCAGCCAGCTGAAACTGCAAACATCATGTGGCAAATTCCAGACTTAATTTTGTATGATTTTATGACTAGTGAAAATTTTAACATAGTGCTAAAAATGTCTTCCCTCAATCCTTAACATAAGAAAGGTTCCAGACACACACACAATGCATCTGGAGTAAGTAAAGATAGTGTTTACATAGTGTGGTAATTATTTCTGTATACTTTTAGGCACGTCTTATTCACACTACACTGGCAGAGAGAGACTGCTGTCTCATATAATCAGATCCATAACTCCATAATGCGGACTTTACAACTACCACATCTACTACTCCACTGGTTATAACTTCACTACTCTGGCCTCTGTAATATATAGACTTGTACCAAAATATGACAATGCCAGATCTTCTATAGACATTCTTTCCAGTGTATTTCCACATCACTGAACATAGAAAAATATATCCCATATTAATGCTACATACAACATTAATTTTAATCGCTGTATTTTAGCTTATAATATTTTAGTATTCTAGCACACACACATAAATAAAAAGAAAATGTTTGTATGTTACATAACAACTTCCATTTTAAAGAATTCTGTACATTGTAAAGAGCTTGAAGATGGCCCATCAGACCAAAACAAATTCTATCATGCCAATTTTAAGTATTATATAAATAACAACACATGAATGGGGTACATCAGCTTCTGGTCCATACTGATGACATTACTTTACTATACAAGATGCTAATAAGGAGGTAATAATATATGTAAATACAGAGAAAATTAAGTATATATTCATCGTATCACCACCAATAAATCCTTCAAAATGTGGCTAAGTTCAAATATTAGAGAATGACTACAACAAATGAAAATTGCATTCAAGACTAATTAACAGCAGATTAAATTCTTGCTACCGTACAGTTCAAAATCACATGTGTAACTAACAGATTAAAATTTACAAAATTATTGCATTTTGTTTTGTATGGATGTGAAACTTTGTCTCACACATTAAGGGAAGAACAAATATTGAGGGTATTTGAGAACAGGATACTCAGGGAGCAATATGGAAGTTGGACTGAAGCCAGTTTAATGTATGGCAAATTAATTTTTACTTGGAGGCTGAATGAGTTAAGTGACTGCAGGCCAGAGAGGCTGCAAGAAATATTCTATAGTTAAAAATATGTCAAAATAGCTAACAATTATTCACACTGATTGATCCTACTTTGTAGGTATGAGAATTGTATTACCAGGACTAATAATTCACAGACAGCATATTCTAAACTCTGATCAGTGCTCTGCAGGTATTAAGACATGCATCAAATCAAATCTGGAGTGGTAACCATCCTGACTTCCTCAAACCCAGATGTATTAATAGATATAGTAAATATAAATAATACATACATGAACCAGGGAAACCAAAACTTGAATTTCTGTCAAAATCTACTTTTTGTTTAATCTGTTTATTATGGAATTACAATACTTCCTCAATTGAATGAATGAGAGCTGAAATATTAATAAATAGCTGTATTGTTAATGTTAATTGACCATCACCAGGAGCAGACTGGACATTTTGCATGCTACATACAGCTCATGGACTGTAATTTGCCAATCCATAGTTTAATGCATAAGAATCTTCCAAGATCTGCACTATTCTGCTGCATTATACTTTGGTTTCGACAGTATCAAAAATGGTTACTACTTACATGCAGCACTTTATCTGGAGATAGTCCAAAGCCTTGCTGAAGTAAAACTGATATGAAACTGAGGTCCAAACACATGAATGGCTGCTCAGCATTTGGGGTTTCACATGCTGCAGAATAAAAACCAATCACTCAAAATCTAAACTAAAAATCTGTAAATTATTATGCATTCTTTGCCTGTCCACCCGTGACAACCACTGGACAGATGAAATTTGGTAGACATTATGCTGTTGAAGACTACCCCAAACATGTACTTTCTAATTTCCTACAATCAGTAATACCAACATGGCAGATGAATGAATCTGTGAAGTGACAGCAACATTAATATCACCAAATATAAAGTCCTGAAATAATATATGGTAACAAATATAAAAAATATATAACTTTTTAAGATAATTCTATGTGAACTCTAAAACAATGTGACTGCATGAAACATTACAAAACGTAAATCCGTGTTCGACACACTTACTTTTATTCGCAGCAATGTGGTAATCTCGTACACTTACACCACCACCATTAAATGGATCTGTAAAGAGCAGAGCAAAGCATTTCACTGCTTGTAATGACGTATATTTAAAGACAAATAGCAGAGCAGATCCTAGTGTACCAGGCTGTGCTAAAAACTGTTCAAAAAATTGTTGATAATTACTTTGGCATATTAACTTTTAACTAAATTAATAAAATTTTCATATATAGTTTTTATCATTATTTTTGGACATCAGGGTGGAGATCCTTAGTGCAATGACAAAGATGCAGGAAATTTATCCTGACGATGGCCACGCTGGTTCAATACATGTTGTTCAAGTGAAGAGAGTATATGAAAAGTGCAGAAAAATCAAGTATTATTCTGATGGAATCAGAAAACTTGAGGACCAGTGGAAAAAACAATGGAAGCAAAGTGACTGGAAAAAAAGGTATGTCTTCGATGCAATTACTTTGTTTAAACTTACAATAAAGTAAAGAATTGCTCTCATATACCGGTAGCCCTCAATTTACATCGGGGGTATGTTCCTCGACGAACCAGCATAAACGGAATCGGCGTAAATTGAAACTCTTTTAAAATGTAAATCAATGGGAAGTCAATGACATGCGTTCCCAGCACCCAAACATTGACGAGTAATATAATGGCATTACATTTAAAGCTCTGAAATAACGTAAATAAAATAAAGGGAATTTAAAAAATATATTTTTATAATCGACAATTCGTTGGTCTTCGCAATTGACTGCGATTCTTTCATGTGACTGATATGTACAGTCATCTCTGCTGTTATGCGATAGTTGCATTCATGTAAGACGCCGACCTATAGAAAATCGCGTAATAAAAATAACCCCGGTACCTCCACAGAGATTAAATTAGTCCTTTGAAAGTTTAAAGCGCCAGGAATGAAACTGCATAAGAGCAAACTCGCATATGTAAAAGTTTTTATTTCACAAACAGCTTTTACTGATTCATCGATCTCGGAGCAAATTCGCGTTAACGAAACATACGTAATTGCAGAGATGGCTGTTACATTGGGCATATGAACACTAGTAATGCATGTTTGTCAAATCAAATATGCATAAGAATTTAGTATTCTGTAGATTAGCTATTTTGTTAGTACGACTATCTGCAATGATGTTCTTGAATTATTGTATTTTAATAGTTATGAATTTAATTTGCCTTACTTTTATCACTTGTACCAAAGGTGTACTGGCATAAAATGCTCAGAAAACCCATTTTAAAAGAGAACTCTTATGTTTGTAGTGTTCTAACAGCAAAGCACTTACCTATCAGGCCATATTCTGTAGCTCTATCATAGTAATATGAGAAGGCACTAATTGTCTTTTGATTAAGTTCTTTTGGCTTATCTACTTTTTTGTTCACATAAGCACTAATAATCTTCAGACACTCCTCAAACTTCACTATGGGATATTTCTCTTTCACAGATCTGTCTGCCTTCACTTCCTTATAATGAGGTTTCTCTGGTCCCCTGCAATGGATGTTTATATAATCACAATTGTTATTCATTAATGACCATCCAATACAGTAAATTACATACATATATAAAGTCAGGTTCTTGTTATGTTTACTTTACTTTGTTTTAATAAGTTGCTTATATGTCTGATACAAATCAAAAATATAATATAAATGATACAGACAACAATAACTATTAATATGGCTAGGTTGCTGTGCCGTGTAGTCTGGTAGCAAGGACCTCTGAAACATCGGTAAACTTCTACCAGATTACACAGTGCAACAATCCAGAAAATAGCCATCTTCACACTCACCACCATGAAAACCTCAAATCCTACTTAACAATAATTATGTCATAACCCTGAATAGTGTACAATTTGCTACAAAACATATTTAAATATCATCTCAAGCTCTCAGTGTCCAAAATTGTCGATGTCTTTAATCTCTAGGACTGTCATTAGTATGAATGGTTACTAACTACAGTTTTATATTTAGAAAGAGATACGGAAATGGATCAATGAACTTACATGACTGCATAAGTAACACCACCATAGCTCCACTTCGTATTAATAATAGGATTAATGCACTTGCTCCTAAGTGTGGTGGAATCCTGTACATTTCCAACAGACAGAATTTCCTTCCGAGCTGCCATCAGACCAAGACCTAAATAACTATAAGTATGAACAAAATTAATTTCAAATTACAGGATGTCCAAAACATTATTACAGAGTGCAATCAAATTAAGATTCTGTCCATAGGACTATATTTAAGAAGACATGATAAACAAAACTTCAGCGTACATTCTCACTCCCATGTTCAGGCTGAAAATTCTAAGAAAACTGTACTGACAGCAAAACAAAAGCTTCAGTTAAGTAAAAATTTGAGAACTAATTAATTAAGTATTGAAGTAAAATACTGTTCTGATTGAGATAATTTCAAATTAACTGTTTCTTGTTTTTAAGTTCATACTTGAACTTACCTCTGTGCATAAACAGTAACATTATGATGGAAAGCTGATATATGATGTAAAAATTCTGGTTTAGTTTCATCAAGTGTCGCTTGATCAGTAGGCATAAATGTAACTTGTGTAGAGCCACCTCCTAAGTCGAGGGCTGCCAAGGTTTGATCTTGATCACCACCAAAACGATCTGAAAATCCAACAGTTGTCTCTAGAGCCATCTCATTAACTACTTTTGGTTGGAGAAATATATGGGTAATACTCATCCTTTTGCCCAATAGGACACATTAATGGCCAGTCCTGAGTGCCCAAGATGCAAGACATAACTTATTTGAAAACCAAACCAACTGAACATAGCACTGCATGGTATTTAAATCTTTCAATGCCAGGCTCAAAAGATCCTAAAAATACAAAAAAAATATATATATAATGTTTGTTGAGTTTGTATATGTTAAAATAACAGTGTGGGAAGTTTATAAGTGTCCTTAATAAGTACAATTTTAATTAATTATAATACAGAAGATGAAACATAACTGGAGTTTACTCAAACGAGTGAAAACTTGGCATACAATATTTGTGCTTTATGCAAAAAATAAAATATCCCAGTGAGAAAGTGGTCTTTATCTACAATATTGAGCAGGACGTTTTATGGGAAGTATTATAAAGTATCAGCTTACTGTCATACCGAGGAGAAAGTTCACAGTGAACCATGAGAAGAGGCCTTCATCTGATCCATCCATAATGGACACAGAGTTCTCATTTGTCAGGAATGGAGATGTTTTGAATAACTTCCTAACCTGGAACAACAATAACAATATTCAAGACCAAACACAAATAAGCCAGTGAATATGTAAGGTGATACAGATAATGTTCCAATATATTGTACATGTTTGGAAAATACAGTGTGTTGCCATTTACAATTCTTGTGCTAACACTGGCTATAATTCAAGCCCAGGCTACTACTTTAAACTCCACAAAACACAGTCCTTCTTGAGAAGCAGTCACTCAGCCGTCAAGAAATTCTACATCTTTTATGAAACCAAAAGGTTCATAACAAAGTCCTAATGATGAGTCCCTAGAGGAGTTAAACGAAGGCAGGATTGCTCCATATCCACCATCTTCTTCACAGACAAGAAACTGTTGCTGGCAGAAAACAGAAGACCTGCAGACAATCACTACAAAACTAAATTAAGACATGAAGAAGCATGGTTTGAAAATTTTGAGCAAAAAACAAAAAATATGGCTATACATGGATGCAATCAAAGGAGTGTGAAAACTGTAATAGATAGAGAAGTTATGGTGTGGGTGTCTGCATTCACATACTTAGGCTGTCAAATATCAAATTAAAACATAAAATGGACTAGATGAAAATATGACAAAATGTAACAAATGAAATGGATGTATCAAGAGAAACTTTGGAAGAATCATGATGGAAGTAAAACAGAAATACACAGTTCTGAAACTCAGCCTTAGATATGTATGTGAATCACAGGTATTACAAATACAAGAAACACTCAGAATCTGCACAAATTAGTTTGTAGCCAAGCAGTTTGGTACAGTGGCAACACTCTCAATAGGTAATGTCTGCATATGTGCTGATCAATATCATAACAGTAATAAATTTCAGATCGTAAATTCGTAACTGTCTTGGCGAAGATACTGGGATACTGGGAACAACCCGTTCTTCAAGTGCCTGATCACTGCGGGTCCCAACTTTTCATTGGCTTGATGTATAGACATTTGGTAGGACTCCTTGGATTAAGATACTGAGGTAAAAAGAAAATAAACAATGAAGATGGACAAGAATACAAAGAGAAAGAATGTAGTAACAAACAGGAAGAAGGTACAGTAGAATATTAATATTAAGATGCTAAACTTATAATTTCTTATGTCATCTGTATAATGCATTGTTCTACTTCATGACTCACTTCTTCCAGCAAGCCTTCAGCCTTCTCGACAGCCAGAAGTCGCAGCCCAGCTGTGGCCTTCATAGCAAGTGGTGTGTTCTTCAACTCTGATGGTGGTATCACCTCCTTAGCTCTTTCCAGCAGTTCTGCTATCTTCTCTGCTCCCTGAAAAGTGTCACCATTAAAACGTATGACAAAGTGTGAACTTCAGTTTCAGGATCACATACAATGATAAAAATAATTTTATAACAGCTCAAAAGTTAATGTCATATTAGGAAAACTAAACAAAGCTAAAAACATTCAGAGTACTCATAGTTATGGTGTCCTTTCACTGGTGTCTGCATCTTAACATTGTGTGATTTGAAAGAAGATGGAGGCAGTATGTTCCTCCAAACCAATAGTATCTACATATAAGTTCACATGGTTTTATAATCCAGAAGACCCAACAACCACATCTTCACTGCCATGAGAACCTCAAATCTCACATAACTGTCCATTTCCTTGAGTATACACAGTCACAACCATGGGTTCCAGAACCCCAGCAGGACAATGACATCTTGAAATAAGAAACACAAGGAAGTGTGGGTTTTATGAAAGGAGTGGTGATATAACCAGGGGCACATCTGAAGTGTCTTTAGATATTTCTGTCTGGTTTTAACATTTTGTGGGGCAATAACTATAAAAGGCTTCTTGGAAAGAACAAAAATATTCCAACTTCAAATGGGTGAGTCAATTATAAATGAATTTCTGGCAAGCCTACATAGAAACACATTAACCATACAAGATAGTCTTCTTTTGAACATACAAAATTATTAATAGTATCATGATATATTAGGGAAATATAGCACCATTCATCCAACTACAAATAATAGTTACAGAAAACACTACTTCCCATTTGACTGACAAAGGTTAAAGTTGAATAGGATGGACTCAATTTCCTGTACATCTGGCACTTGCTACGACAAATAACAAAGCACACTGCCAAACTTTTGAGAGAGCAGGTTTATACGTAACCAAAAATCAATCCATCATTGGGCATGGTCAATCGTATGTAGCTTTGTCAAGGGCAAAGTCTTCTCAAGGCATAAAACTCAAATAACTGGACAAATACAATATAATTAGAAATAAAGTTTACAGTAAAGTTTTAACACACTGAAGCCAAAGCTCATCTAAATTATATTTAAACATACAGTTCCTACCACAAAGAAAACACAAGATGTATCCATTACAAAACTCAACTTATTAATACTGTTTAGGAAAATAATCAATGTTTATTCTGAAAATCACATTAATGCTTTGAAACCCAGTATTATTCTCACTGTAACCAACGATTATTTCCTTAAACAGCATTAATACCTTGATCTTTGCAATGGTGAAGTGTGCGGACCAAATTCTTAACTATTATTTAGATAAGCTTCAGCTTGAAATGTTTAAACAAATACGCTCTATGTAACAAAACTGCAGTCACTTAATAGCACAGCATGCGGTGCATACAGATACCTTTGGACTTTAAAGGCTTAAGTGAATATAATTCTAAAAATAAAAATGAATTTACTAAATGTTTATTTCAATTTTATTTCTTTCATTTACCTCATTTTTCTTCATTACAAAATCTCAGAAGTGAGGGAACAAAAAAATAAAGAGTAAAAACAGATAACAGTAATGAGAAGGAGAGGAAGGGAGGGATGTATGGGAACCCCCCAAGCTGTGATGGAGCCCCTACTCATATTTTCTTTTCTTGCTACTATTCTGTTTATCTTTGATATCATGCTGAATCACAAGATACTTCCCACATCAATATCACAAGCGATGACATTCACATTGTTACCCATTCATAATCAATGAATCTTACTCTTAACTACATATCATCGAGGATTAACATCCAATTTCTTCTTTACTGGTTTATGTCCTGTTCTCATCCTTGATATTAAACTGAATTTAAACTCACTTGCTTAATCATTCTAAGCAGAAATAAGTAATAAGTTAAGTATAATTGGCCAGAATTTAACTTGACACTCATATTCAGGATTTTTCTTTGCTGTTCAGGATCAAAGGATATATATATATATACACATTACCTTTTGTGGGTTGTCAGCAAAAGAAGAAAGTCCTGGTTTTACTTGCACAAATAGCTCGTGGTCCAATTTCAAGTTTTTGTCTGAGGAAAATTATGAAGTATAAATTAATGATAGACACAATGAGTAACACTTATAAAGATGATATCTATGACCAAGATGATAAAAGAATCAGGATTCTAATCTGACACTTGCTAGTAGAACCACACTTCATAAACAATTCATACAGAAAAACATGCTGTTCAATAGTACATCAAACCATATCCACATACACAAATATAACCAGTATTTAACACAAGACAGAGCTGCACTGCTGTGCAAATAATTTTAGCAGCAGTTTCTGTTAGAGTTTTTGCAATGAGTTATGCAGTTCTTGCCAGGAGCTGAAACAAAAATGTTGCCATTCCCCATCATTTACATGGATACTCCAGGCCAAGCAGCAGGGCATTTGAAAGAAACTATAGTGGATTAACATTTGCTGTGAATGTTGTTTTGAATCGTGTGTCAGCCACAGTTGTGTGAAAACATACATTTATTTTATTAGTCCTTTAGCTTGTACGATGCATGATGCCAAAATATTTCAGCTAGCTTCTAAAATTTTAGTAAATTTGTCCATCAATTCATTATGCACCTGTCATGCTTCAGTGACAACACATCATAAACATCTCTCTTACCGAAAACAGATTCATGGAATGTAAAAGCAAGCACACGAGAAGCCGTACTACCAGCATCTATTATAACAGCATATGAATGCTTCTGCAACCCCAAGATAAATGCCACTTTATCCAAGACATTTGTTGCATGGGTATATGGACTCCATGGTAGCACATCGAAGTACGAACCTATGAACAATATTTCCAAGATTATTCCATGGCAGTTAAAGATTAATAGCAATCTGTGAAATACATGAAATGTTCTAAAACAAAAATCAACAAGTCTGAAATAAAAATGTCTATGGAGAAACAACTGAACACTACTACATTCATCTTGTCTTCCGATAAGACACTCACTGCATGCAAAACTGTTGGCAAACTTGCTGAGGTTATGGTTCCAGCAATGATGTCTTCGCTTGTTTCCACTAGGTCACTTACCTATCACAATAGTTGAAACTACAACAAAAGCTGTTAGTATAAAAAAGCAGTGTTGAATTTTCATTGAGCCTCTATTCTGTGAAGGGTTCTTCTTTGGCTTATTTGAGTGGCTTGGTAGTCCATGATCTCCAGTATGCTGTAACAAAATATTCAAAAGATAGTAATAGCTTGGTTTTTGTTTAAACAGTACACATGTATGATGCAAATAAACACAAATAAGATCTTCCTGTTATCACCAGAATAACCACCACATTTACAGTATAAATATAATTTCTCATATACCTGTACCTAAAAAAAATGCTAGGAATACAAGTTCCAAAACTGAGTTTTTTATACATATAATTAAAATCTGTATCTGATCACTCACTGTACAAATATTTGTATTCACTCCATTCAACAAAATTTATCCAGACAAAGGGACAAGGTCTTCAAACTTATGGCCTTGTGAATGCTGCTGGGCATGACCAAATTAAAATCTCAGTCTCAATTACATTTGTGAGAAAGTTTGATTGGGTATGGATTTTATTCAGACTGCTATGTCCCAGAAAAGGTTTTAATTTCTCCTTCATATTTTATGTTTCAACAATATCAATTATAGGCAACAAAGAAGTGTGGTTAATATCACATATATTTGAGAGATTCATTGTAACTGTTAAAAAAATTAAGGGCTTAAAAAAGTTGACAGTGGAACCACGGTTCCGGAGAATCTGACGTAAATACGTCTCTGTAATGTAATGAAATGTAATGTAATGTAATGTAATGTAATGTATTGTAATGTAATGTAATGTAATAATTCTTATATAAGATTAGTACTTTTGATATTCTAAAACGTTTTTCAATAACTAAAATTATCTAATCTAGGACACACTTCATCTATAAGCAATTCACAGCTCAGCTCTTTCCGCAATAACGAAAGCGGATTGTTGACGGCAGTAAACAGATGACATAACATAACAATGCACGGAGTTCACATAAAAGCTGACCATTGTTGTCGGTCCATATTTACACATTGTTGATATGGATCTTTCACATTTTCGTTACACATCTTCGTTATGCCTTTTTGCCAAATGACCCTTCCGCATAGGCGTATTTATGTCAATAAATGTCCTGACAGATGCAACAGTATGATATATACATACATCTTTAATTTATGATGGAAAACAGCTGCGAAGGGCATTTAGTGTTTCAAATGGAAGCTATGATGTGGTGATGCATCTAGTGTCAACAATAGCAAATTCATGTAGAAATGTGACTATGCACAATTGGCATGATTAGCAAGAGATTTGTTGACAAAAATAAATAACAGTGACTGGTGCACTATCAGGTAACAAGTGTGAGATACCTCTGCAATTTGTGAATAATAAAGACAAAGAAGTTTGCAGCAGTCTTTTTGGGATTCAAGAGGTCACAATACTTATGTCTTACATCCTGAAAAATGAGAATTATACTGTTATCTACTATGCATTTTCTAGGAAATACTGATCTGGGTTGACAAAGGGAAGCATGAAAAATAACAGCATATAAAAATTCAAAAGGTAGAGTTGACAAAGTGGATAAAATTGTAGAAAAGTACATTGTTTCAAGAAAGTGCTAGAGGTGGCCACTCTGAATTTATTTTTAACCTACCAGTATTGCCTGTCTCAAAGATTATGTAATATTTCTATCAAACAGTCATAATGAAGTACCACGTTTTAGCAAAACCAGTAATCATTCGCCAGTTGGAACAAAAATACAAGACATTTTAAAAATCCTGAAATTTCTTAGTATGTTAAATAATTTTACAAGACAAAGATGTTTATTCTTATTCCTAAGTATACTGAAAATATAAAAATAATAATCAGAAAAGAAGATGCTGAAAAATCCTGAACACAAGCATAACTGACAATACAGAGGTGTTGCCCTGTGCAACCATCTACATACTAGACTGCATCACACATCTGCCAGGTTAATTTATACCAACTTGGATATATGGTAGGGTAATCTAGTTCATATAATGGACTGAATATGAGCATCTGATGGTGCAGAAATTAAGTGCTGGGCATAAGTGTCATTAGTCAGCCTGACATGCTTAGAAAGTCACATAGACATAGATCATAATTAGACGTGCTAGCCGCAACAACACTGTTTTCATCAAATTCTAGTTTTAAAAAAACAACTGTCACACCAATACTTGTTTTATATACATAAAATTCTTAAAATTCTATAAATATTTAAAATGGTATTTAACTCCCATGATAAACAGATATTTGCATGTTTTTGGAACATTAAACACTATACGACATTAGGTTACATTACCTACTACTTTTTTCATTTACATCCTATAGTCATTTCATTGATTAAAATTTGGGGTCATCTAAGAATCATTACTTCCCGCAATATCAATTGCTACTATTTTACACTGCCTACGTCCACGCCATGCTGATCATAATCTTCCTATGTAAAGGTTAGATTGAACATGAATATAAACTAATAAGGCAAAAACCAAGCTTTTCATAACTCACAGAATTGTAAACCATGAATACAAATAAAAGTAAAAACTACCACAGCTCAGTATAATACAACTTCACTGTCGAGTATATTATTGAATCGTCTGCTGGTTGACATCAATGCACCCTACCGGATAGACATTCATATTCGTTGGCGTACTTAACAAAATGTGAACTCCAAACTTCATCACGGTCATAAAATAATGTGATCATTACGTTTTACCTTCCTCTGTCGCACTGAGGCCATAATTTGCTTGATTCAGTTGCTGGAATGATTAGACTTCCAGCGAAAATTGTATACTACACTCTGTCGGCAGCACTAACAAAATGCAATTCATAGAACTATATGAACGTCCTTGGAAGCTCCATTTATGAAAGTAATGGACACTACGGAAAACATGACAACTCGTGATTGATTAGTGTTTGGATAAGATAATGTAAATATGGGCAAATACGAAGCGAAAACTTATATTAGAAGCAGATACAGTATCTATAAGTCACTCAGTTCTCTTTCTTGCACACACGATTATACCAGTTTGCTGCTAACGTTCCGTTGCGTTCATAATAGCGTGATGCACACGAACCGTAGTTACGAAACAAACCATGACTTTCCTTATTGTAATTACAATTGCTTTTAACCTTTACTCACTGGATCGTTGTGAAGTGTGGGGGTAAAACGTAGTTACCGAATGTCACAGTAGACGTTTTAGACATTCGTAACACGTTAGAATGTTTTATTTCGTTCATTTCCTATCAGTTAATTAACTATAATTAGGGGTGCGTTCTTGCATGGTTTTCCTAACAAAAAAATCAAGTCCAAAATTTCTGACGTGGTGTAAGGTGCGAAAAGTTTTGAAAACAACAAAGAAATGCTGAAGAATGGCAACAAACTGATTCCTGTGAAGTGTGCTTCCAGCACAAGACACTGAGACAGTTAATGCTGTCATACATACATCTTTATTACATTCCATGGATCCATAAGTTAGTCATGAAACAGAACAAGCAATCATTACTGATTCTCAAAATGACACGTTGTGAAAAATAAGTAAAGCAATTTGTGATGTTGGGAATGTACTGAACAGAATAATTTGTATTATCTGTGTCTTGTCCCTTTCATTAGTCCAGATAATTGAGAGTTTACTGTGGCTATACACAGGTCATTTTGAAGTTAGTCCACCACTAAGACAAATACTGCAGTACTTGATGCACCTCTACATGGTTTAATATCAGCCTCTTTCTTACAAAAATTACTTTCATATCTTATACTAAAATTACACTAAATTGAATATAATACTGAATCTTAATTTAAAACATTTACATATATTATGATTTTTTTTAGATAAAAATGTTCTATGAGAGTCTAAACACACATGTTACAACTTTAAAATGTCTTCACAAATAATGGTATATTTTGTGTAAACATGAAAATCACAACTTAAAAGTATTTTAAATGACCAAAAAACTTGATCCTGAAAATCACATACCTAGATTTGAAGATTCCAAGGTATAAACTATACAGCTTCATTTATTTACACTTACTGAGCAACAAATTCATTGTTATAAACTACATACAAAGCACACTACAGAAATAACTTATTTTTGCCACAATAAGAGAACTGGAACTCACAGATGACCATTGCTGCATTTAATCTTCCAGTTTTTCTGTAAAATATGGTCAAAATTTAGGTTAGTGCTTCATATTGAGAACACAAATAAGCAAACAAACAAACAAAACATAACAGCACCAATCAAAATTATCCACTTCCTATAATTTCTTTACATGAAGTATATAAAACTAAATCACAATGGGAAGAGCAAGGTCATCAATCTAATTTCTACTGCAAAGATGATGGAAAACAGCTGGCAACTATCACCTTCTCAAGAACTCTGCTCAGTGGAATTAATTGAATTATTACACATTTTATTTATGAACCATGATTACATATTCAAATCAGACGTGAAATAGATGCCATAACTAACTAGATGGCTTACAGAACCCAAAGGTTCATCATTGAATTAACCAAAGCCCTCTACTAGACCCTGACCTGGGCCAACAAAATCCAGTCTCCTTCAACTCCTATCTCCCATATAACCTGCCTGACATTATCCTCCCGTCTAGGTCTGCCCAGCAGTCTCTTCCCCTCAGGCTTCCTGACCAACAACCAGTGAACCCCTCTTGCCCCATCCATGCATGACATATGCCCCGCCCATCTCAATCTTCTTGACTTAATCACCCTGACAATATTAGGGGAGGAGTATAAATTTTTAAGCTCATCATTATGAAGTTTCCGCCATACCCCAGCGTCTTCTCTCCTAGGCCCAAATATCCTCCTCAACACCCTATTCTCAAACACCTACAATCTGTGTTCCTCCCTCAGAGTGAGAGACCATGTTTCACACCCATACAAACAGGCAAAATTATTGTTTTGTATATTTTAATCTTCAGGTTCTTAGAAATCAGATAGGAAGACAAAATATTTTTAACTGAGAAGCAGCAAGCATTTCCAGAATTTAATCACCTCCTAACTGAAATAAATGCCACAGAAAATATAAACCACAACTTTCACAAGATGAATGTCTAGTTTAAGGGGGCCCAAAATAGGTACAACAAAGCCTGTAAGTGTAAAATACACTATATAAATCTATATAGTTTTGTTTCAATATGGAGTTCAATAAAAAATTCCCAGACTCAACCTAGACACAGCCATTTTCAAAGTGTTTCCTTGAGCCATAATATATTTTAGCCACTACTGGTTACAATTCCTTGAAGCAGTTCTGGAATTTCTGTGACTGGATTGTATGCAGAACTTATTTAGTTGCAGGAATAATCTGCTGTTCACTGTTGAACCTCAGACTTCTCTATAAAAGAGTATGATTCTTAATTACTCAATTGATAGTCAGTAAACCCAGTATCTGAATGTTCATTTACATGCCTAATGATTAAAACTCCATACACAGTATACTATATTGGAACATGTATATCAACTTGTTATGCAATAGAGATATGCCATGTACTGAAATACAAGGCCCCACCTTTCTTCTCCTTCAGCTGTATCTGCAGCTCCATAACCTGTACTTTGGCATGTACTAGTTCCACCTCCTTCCTACGGAGTTCTTGCTGTGTATTGAACAAGGTCTCACTGCTGAACAGTGCACAGACAGACTTTGCCTCCAGTTCTTCTTTTAGCTTTTTACATTCTTTCCTGTATATCATAAAAATTGAACAAAGGTTACATATATATCAAAATAATTATTATTCTTTATGTACACAAATCAGTGCCAATTTCCCCTCAGAAATAAATACCATACTGTTAAAGTTCAGAAGTAATATATACATAGTCATAAACACAATGCCTGTGGTAAAACATTTGAACTTTAAATATGTACCAACACTACCAATATTACTTATAGTAAATGAGTTTAAATGAATCTTGAAATAAAGCATCCCTTTGTGTGTATTATAATATAGTACTCATACTGTCTACACAATAAAGTATTATGTACTTAAGCCATATGTTTCAGTCATTTTATTGACTGTCTTCTGATGGCACAAAAATACAGGATAAAAAATTGAACTGAATGACTAAGTTAAGAATTAAGAAAGTTAAAATAATAAAATTATAAGATTCAAATATTTTTTGATAGCAACTGAGAGGATCCAAATAGGGGCATTTTATGTGATTAATGGTCAATCTGTGAATTTTAAACTAAAATCTGGGCAATATATTTTGTTATAAACGTTCCAGTTTTTGTGCATGGACTGATTAACTAGAATTTCCAGGCCTGCAAAAACTACGGTTTTATTATTGTATATGCGGAGATGATCGGATCTAATGTGAAGGACGTTATACACATTATATCAGTTACTTAGCCACAGTCTACAGAATATGTTATCAGTTCAACTAAGTCAAGAAAACAAAGCTTTGTCTGAAGAGTTAGCACAGTTCTGAGTTTATTCTTGGTGGTATATATGAACTTATGCAGAAGAAAATACTACACGGGAGTAAGGAAACAGTGCGCGTACTGACCTTAAGCATTCTTTGCATTTTGTTATTGATGGTGAACCTGTTTTTGGATGCCAGCAAAATGCATAAGTTGCTTCTTGCCGACATTTTATAGAACCGAAAAACAAGAAATAACAGCCCCTTTAGGGGACCAACGAGTGGGTATGGACAATCAGCATGGAAGGTTGCAATATTCTATGCGGTTGGATGTTGATATAGACGAACAGGAAAGATAGACAGGAGTAACAAGACAGGACATGATCCTGATATAAACCAGCTGCATCCTGACCTTCCTCACTTCAGCCTTGATGATAAAGGCTGTACGGTTCTCTGATATGTCAGCCATAAGCCAAGTTCTATACAATGCTAGCCCCCAAAAGCAAATTCAGTATCAATAATGCATATACTGCTAATGGTTGCTAAACAGAATATGGATGACATTATTTGTGGCATAACTATCCAAAACACTTCATAAAAAATGCAGCATCCTTACCGACTGGATTCAATATATGCTTCAACAAACTTCAATGTAGCATTATCTGCATTGCTGATGACATATGGTGATTTCTGCCCTTTCAATTTCTGCACCAGTTCCTCCAGATCCTTTTTTGTTACAAAAAAAAAAACGTTATAAGCATCTGCAATTAGTGTAATAATAAACCTACCCAGACGTAACCTAAGGTTACCACCATTATCTCAGTTACCATGGTAACCTTCGTTGCCATGGATTACCATGGTTTCCATGGTTCCTCCATATAACTTTCACACCATGGTTACCACATTTACCTTTGTTCCCATAATTACCTTGGCTTCCATCGTTACTTGTCACTGAGTTGACGCATGTGGACAGACAGAACATGCATGGCCAACCCTATTTGCATAAATTTAATGCACCTTGTGCAAACTTGAGAATGTTACAGAATTGCAAAATAAAGTACCAAGGAGCTGGTACACCAATTGAGGATAGTAAGTTATTCATGATGATAATAATATAATAACGTCTTTTCTTTGTTGTATTTGATGCAATATGCTGAATGTATAAAATTAAATTACCTTTATGCGGGTTCTGTATGACGCAATCAGTTGTTTTTCCTGTTCTTGGGTTTCTAACTGCATTTGGTCCCACTTTTGCCTCAAGAACATTAATTCTGCCTGCAAACATGCAAAAAAAGGGAAGTAAAAAAAGGGATCTGTAAGTTCTGCTATGATTCTGTGCATTATACCATTACATCTGTAGTTGACTTCCTGTCTGTAAAAATTCATTATACAGGAATAGGGGATTTAAATTCATCCACTATGATTTTAACACTGTCATTGTCAAGTGTGTCCAAAACGTGGTTGTATTGCCGCCTGCAGTTGGATAACTTATATTAAAAAGAGAAAGATGGTAACTGGTGTAGAATCTTGTTAACAAAGTGTTTTTTGTACTCTCAATCAACTGAGATGTCCAATGAAAGGACTGGATGGACACCACAAGAATTCCAAAGGTGTTATGGTTATTATTGTGTTTACCCACTACTTGCATGTTTATCGAGCTCACTTTCAATGTCAAATGAAACTTCTTCATAAGAACCAGTCTCAAAAACTAGCTCCTTTTCAATTTCTTTATTATTCCTCAAAATGTACACCATTATTATGAGAATATTTTATTCTGTTAAGAGTAATGTATTATTCCATTCTTGCCCACTATCATAACAATAACACACAGGACAGACTGTGCTCAAAATTTCTGATGATGGTCTAACCCACCCCTCAAACTACAAACACACAAGCAATAGTAGTAGCACTCCACAATTCATCAATTTATTTTATTTCAAATGCTTAACTGGAAAATATTTTAGCAGGAATAGTTCATAGATACAATAAGAACATTCATAGCCAAACACCCTAGTTAAAATTCAACCACCAATTCCATAGTATGAGAATTTAAATTCCCTATTCTCATATGATAAATGTTAATAGTGATCACACAGATTATGTGTAAAAAACTTCAATTAAAATTTCTCAGTAATAAATATGCCAAAATTTGGATACCATCTTGTCAATACCTTGACTCTCCTAGCAAAAGATGATGAAAGTTAAAAAAAATTGTTGTAAACTACATAACAGAAACACTGACCAGATTTCATGATTCCACTTCAGCCGTAAAAGTGACATATACTGAGATGGTGAAGCATACAAGAAGAAGGTGGTAAAATGCTATTAATAGCGTTTCTGAATTTGGCCTGAAGTAACAAATTTATTACAAGTTAGATTTTTACTATCATTTATATTTCTTTCAAGAAACACCAAGTCCACAGGAAAATGTTGAGGTTCAAGACACATCCACTTAATCAGAGTTCTAAGACAGTAGACAACACCGTGCCAGAACCAAAATATACCTGCGTGTTTATAGCAGTATGATACTGGCATAATGACACTTGGTTTCCAGGTTTTATGAATGAAAGTAATAGAAGGCACAGCTTGGTGAACTTACACTGAACCTATTTTCTTCAGCACATTTATCCATGTACAGTTTCTTCAAATGACGATACTTCTGAACAGCAGCATCAAGGTTCTTTTTCATTCTCAGCCTTTTATCCTCAACTTCAGCAAACAATGAGTTACCCTTTTGTCCACAAGTTTTTGGATCAGACTTGATGATCTCCAGCTCATTTCTCATTACTGCAAGATCCTCTTGAGCACTCTGCAGTAAATATACAATAATAATAATAATAATCCGTGGCGTAACAGCCTTCTGAGAGCCTAAGCCAATTAGCTGGCTGCTGGCCTCACGTTCACATGACTAAGCAGAGGTGAACGATCATCCAACCAGATATAGGGTGACATGTGGTCAGCACGAAGAACCCCCAGCCATTGCTAGTTTTCATGACCGGATTATGCTACCCATTGTAGATCCCCAATTTCCTCACGATGCTGGGTTGGCACCAGTCCCATACACCGGTCGAAAATCTCATGAGAAATTTCTTTCCCCGAGACTCGAACCAGCGTGCATTCTGTATCACCGGTCCGAAGCATGATGCCTCAGACCACGCGGGCCCAATAAATATACATGTGTTATAATAATCGTATTTGTATGCATCCTGTCATTGTATTTCTGAATTTGGATTAAAATTCTGTCACTCACAACCTTTTTCTTTTATGTTTATTCTAAGGCAACATGTTTCAATCCATGATTCAAGTACTGAGTGTTAAATTTCATAAAGTGTTCCTGTTAACAGATTATATGCAGTAATTATAAACATGCTTTTACTCTTGTCACAGTACTTATATGCCCTGAGGATGGTCCAAAATGTACCAAATATGTCATCTTAGAACAAACATATTAAAGAAAAAGGTTGTGTGTGGCAGAATTTTAATCTTAATTCGTAAGCTATGCTTGAAAATTCCTCAGTAGATACTTCTGATTCACGTGTTGAAGATATCCAACAAATTAAGGAAAATTTATTGGATGCAATAATTAAGAGATATTCTCTAAATTCCCTGTTATTCACAACTTAACAGTGTAATGTATTCTTCTATCTATTTACATATTATACTAAAGAACCTGTTGTTTATCCAGTTAAAAGGTTGAAGAGCACAATTTATATTTACATTTATATTTATATTAAAAAGAAGTAAATAAAAAATATTTTATTTGGTGGATTTGCTATTCATATCCAAAACTGTTTCCAAGAGAATTATATTACTTTTGAAGATTTCTGTCTTCTGGGTTGTTGCGCTGTGTAGACTGGTCAATGTTTACCATCGTTTCTGAGGTCATACTGCCTCCGTCATCAGGGCGATGAATATGCCAATCAGGTACACTAGTGAAGCACTGGTATTACATTGTCAGGGAAGAATTCACACATACCTTAAGGCAATTCATACAAGATGTCAAATCCTCCTGTTTTGCTGCTAAACGTCCATTGGCTTCATTCAAATTACTAGTTAATTCTGCCATTTCACTTGTGAGTGCAATATTCTTGTCTTGTAGCTGCTGATATTCCACATGGATTTCTGACTCTTTCTCTTGTAATATTGCATTTTCCAGCTGAAACAATAAAATAATCTAAATGATCTGATTGCCACGTCCTTTCCTCACAACAGTTACATGTTTCTTAGCATAATGAATAGGAATCTACATAAATGATCTGCTATAAAGCAACATTTTTGTTATTGTAATCCTGAGAGGTATAAATTGTCAAAGACCAAGATGAGGATGTACATTTATCTTATTAGAATTGCCAGTCTAAATGAATAGAAAATATTTGGTAATTTACTGAAAAGAAAACGCTAGATAGGAAAGGAACATTTACCACTCTAGAGAGGAAGGAATTATTTTCTCATCATTGCCATGAAAAGTTGTCAATTTCAGAATTACTAATACAAAAGTATAATTTCAGACAAAATAGAGAAGAGTTACTTCAATCCAGTTCACATCACTACAGCTTGTGACTAAGGCAGGATTCACATTAAAACAACAAGCAACAGGCAGTAAGTGACAGGCAATTTCACATCGACGGTATATTCACATCTAGGAAAACAAATGCTTGCTAGTTTGTAAAAAGTCAGCAAATGAAGTGGTCATTGCATGCTGCATGTTGCAAAAAAATATGCAAATTTGCAAAAGAAAATGCCTGTAGGCATGCTCTTTCAACAATAACAATGTTGGTGACAGCATGATTATTAGAAGACTTACTGCTGATCCAGAACTATTTCAATTTTAAATACTTTGTTTCATTGGATTCACCTGCAATTTACAAAAGAGTACAAATTAAATATTAGCAGTCATCCTTGAAGAGCAACTTATTACGTTGAGGTAAAAGTATTTTCATTGTATAGCCAATTGGTTTTTAATAAATAATTAGTTTGTTAATTACATTATATATTTTCTAACATAGAAAGATATACGTGTATGTTTTAAGTGGGGTACACACTAAGGAAGCAAAAAGGCATAAAGGAAGAATTAGTAGTAGTATTTTACAATGGGGCCCTACACACTGATGAAATGTCAAGCATGCAGTATGAAACACAATGAGACATGTTTCACGGTTGATATAGAACCAGGCATATCTCTTGCTTCAGCTTCATTGATGTTTCACAGGAAGAGATTCTTAAATGATTTCTTTGTACTTTCTAAAGTTATAACAAGCACCTGCAGTTCTTTCAGCACATCATTATTGCATGAGTCAGGAACTCCTTTTAACTGTTTCTCCAGCATCTTCACTTTACATGCCATTTCCAAAATTTGTGTCTTATGAGCACCCTCTTCATATCTTTTATCCTTCTCCAACAAGTCAATCTAATAACAAAACATAACACCACCATTAAATATAAAGAAAAATTGAAGCATTTCATTTACTGTGCACACCATGACATCGTGTTAGTAAAGTAAAGTATTCCATGGCGAAAACATAACTTAAAATCCTCTTACCCACTGTTACTTACCTTGTCTGACAGCTCCTTTACAGAATGTGAATATTTTTCCTCCAGATCTTTCACTCGGAATGCAACCGCCGCCTGAGCTTTGTCGTACTTCTTCTGCATAGCCTCCAAGTCAGCAGAGAGTTCCTTCTCCATCATACGTGAAGTAGTGAGTTGAATTTGAAGCTCATGAAGTTGCTGTTCATACACCTGTGAACATAAATTGTTTCAGATATGTTCCACTGTTTCGATGAGGACCTAGAATTGTGTCACATCTTCAAGAGAATAAGACACAAGGCTTTTAACATATGGGTATTTTATATTTACGTCTTATCTATGTCTTTACTGCTTTCTATGGAGATACCATTGCACTACTATTATTTTCCTAATGTCTGCAGAATATAGAAAATATGATCAATCCACCTTCATGATCCACAATAATTCATCTTTATGTGGATTTATCATCACCAAAAACTGTCAATATTTTGCACAAAGTTAATTACAATGAGAGCCCTTGGAAGATACTACAATCAATTTCATGGCAACTCTTCCTCATTCCAAACAGAACATACGAGTTTATAGATTTCAGAATATAGTAATTTCTTCTTAACTGAGGAACTGGCAATTTATATATTTTATAACAGCTTCATTATCTCACATTTTAGAAGAATCTACTGAACTTGCTCAAGTCATCCATTTCATACAACATAAGATATCACAGAGTAAAAATAATGTTATTTTTGTAAGAACACAGAACACATACACATGCACTACAGCAGTAGTCCCCAACCCAGTGCCCGCAGGCGCCATGGCGCTCGCCAAGGCTTTTTTTGGGTGCCCACGTTGTTACGGAAAGAGGTTATACTGAATAATGAAGGCCGTTCAACCATGAACATTATAAAATCAAAGCACAGATCTCGACTTACTGTTGCCCATCTTGACGACTGTTTGCAAGCAGCAACATCATCCTATACAGTATATAGGTACATTCAAAATAAAATAAAATAAAAGAAATTGGGCATTGGCTTGGCAATGTAACTTCAGAATCTTTGGCATTACTTATGAATCCACAACTCAGAACATATTTTGTGTTCATGTGATGGCTTGTTAGGTCTGTCATACTCCTCAGGCTAGGATATTACGATTACTGTGAAGCACTGGTGGAGGGATGATTGGCTGGGAACACAGACTGTTTTTCTATTGGCCAACACCAGGAAACTACATACACCCTTGTTTATCAGCTGGCCGCATCACTAAAATCAAATGATCACCATTTAACATAACCACCACCAAACATAAAACACCCTACACCAATATAGTTAAATGTTTACCAATATCCAACGCAAAACACCTTACACCAGTGGTCCCCAACGCGGTGCCCACGGGCACCATGGCACTCCCCAAGGCTTTTTTCTGGGTGTCCGCGTTGTTACGGAAAGAGGTTATACTGAATAGTGAAGGCCGTTCAACCATGAACATTATAAAATCAAAGCACAGATCTCGACGATCGTTTGCGAGCAGCATCATCATCCTACACTCCCAAATTTGAAAAACTGGCCAATGAAATGCAGTGCCAAACATCACACTAACTTCCCACTTGAGTAATAATAATTGAACTTATAAAACTACGTATTTTTGATTGCATGGTTTCTTGTATCATTAAACGTCGTGTTGTTTTGTGTATTATTTGGTGTCCATATCTTATTTGTCCAGAGAAAAGAAAATTTGGCTTTGTTAATTGGTTGGTGCCCGCCATGATCTCATAAACTCTCAAATGTGCCGGTAGGCATAAGAAGCTTGGGGACCACTGCACTACAGGTTTAAATAAAACAAAAGTATATGGTTATGTCTAATACCAGAACTTCATGACAAAAACGCACATGTTCGTATGTGATCATAAAACTGACATAAATACCTCAACAGTCTGCTGTACATCCTTCACTTCTTGCAAACTATTGCTTTCCATTGTAGCCAAAATGTAGAAACAATCTAACAGGATCAAAAGAAACTCAATTAAAATGTTAAAAATAGTATACCAATTTAGGATGTTCCCACACAGACATGTTTTGTTTTCACAACTTTAAGAACTGTAGCAGCATTTTACTTTAAATCATAGCTTGATTAATCTTTCTCAGAAGTAAAAATCGGACATCTGTCAGAGAATAGTGCAACTATGTCTTAATTTTTTCTGGGCAAAAGATTTGTAAGTATCTGGTTATTAAACTGTGAAAAAATACATTTTGATAGTATGTCATAACAATAATAAAAGACTCAGAATCACTTGAGCCACATATGACTTAAAGTCACTTACTTTACCAGGTTGCATATCAACTTCTAAAAATCCAACTACTGAATCACTTGCTGTTATGTCATATTTGACATAAAGCTATACCAAAAACCTTCTAAACCACTAATATTACAATATTATGTTAACATGCTTTGCTATGAGGACTGTCACATAGCTCCTGAGAACAGAAACTTTAAAATTAGTCTACTTTGCTTACTTCTATTCAATCATGTCATATTATTCTCTGTGAAAACTCAACATGCAGCAAAAAAGCATTTTACATCCAAAATAAAATCATTAGAATAATTACAGGCACTAAAGGGAGAGCCTTATGTACAGAATTTTTTAATAAATTTAATATTCTTCCACTAGCCAGCCAATTCTTGCTACCATTATTATTTGTAGTAGACAACACAGAAAAATCATTGTCTTCGACCTATGAAGACTTTATGGGATGTATATAATTCTAGTCTAGTCTATCCTATTATATAAAATGGCAGGTTTAAGACCACATCAAAATCAAGAATGGTCATATCTCATTAAACACACCGATATTAGAGCTTTAATCACGAACGTCAGTCACTTCTGAACATTTAAACACTACATTAGCGCATTTGTATTCAAAAACAGAGGAAAATTCAAGTATAATCAGGTTGACCAATATTGATATAATTACATTCCTTTCACACCAAACTTTCTAAAAAATTCTTTCCCAGTTTTAATTCTTGTCGAAAATTCAAGTCTCCCGTTTTTGTTCCTTACCAGCATACAAACGTATTCATATACCAGAAAAACTAAACTGCAGGAAACACGCAAATAAAAATAATGGCACTGATATGAATAAACCTTTGAAACGTCGGTAAACTTCGAACAGGCTAAGGCCTTGAGAACTTGACCCCATAAAAACTGACCTTGAAAATGATAACTGCAATGTTTTCCCAAATGTTTGTTGACTCCAGTCAATTAAAAAACCGAAATTATATACATCACGGTGCCATGAATTGCGTTTCCCAGGTCGAGGAATCTGCCCCCTCACTGCCCACCGATCCTAGGGAGTAAGGGGAAGCGAAGTCGATCTCAAAACCGTCTATTAGACATAAACTTGTGTAAAGGGATTGACAGTTGTAACTAAACGCCCATTGTCCATAGGTTTGGTGAAACGTCTATCGCGTCTCGGCTTTTTGTAACCAGACCACAGATGATACCAGAATGGCTTAGGGTTGTCTATTCTCTCGAATAGCTTGCAGACAGCTGGTGAGGTATATTAAGTTTGAGATATGGCACGAAATTGTTTTATGGGTAGAAATGCACTGTTTGTAGTGTTCCTTTCGACTAACAAATTTTGTTTATGCTGCCAGTGACATTTTCCAGAGTTTTCAGAATGCCGTTGTACGAAGGCATAGGTTTAACTGAAAAACAAGCCGTTGTCATTGATATTGGTGCTGCATACACGAAGTAAGTAAACAAGACAGGAAAGGTGTAATCCGCACTGGAATGCGTTCTTTGCCAGTTTTAAATTACAAATAAAAGATTGTCAATTATATTTCATAGCTTCTGTCTATACAGATTATTTGGCATTGATGACTTACGCAAGTTTATGATTTTGAAGGTTAAATACATTAGCTCTATTGTAGCGTTTTGATTTTGTAAGCTTCCGGTCGCGGGATGGAATCCTCATTACTTTCTTTATTTTTTTCTTTTTTGCATGTAACCACATTATTATTTTACAAAATAAATTACTCTTCCAAAGTTTTGTATTTTCAGAAAATCTTTTACCATACATCATTGTATAGGCTTACACAAGTGGAAGTAGAGTCAATCCCTCCTCACAGGTTTGTTTGCCTACCATGTTGGTATTTCAGATTGGACAAACAATTTAGAATAGTCCCAAATGTCATACTGTCCATACCAAATTTCATCCGGCAGTTCTCACGTTGAATCATGGTGACTGCTAGACATGGCCAGTCCTCTATATGATCATTTCATGCAATTTGTGCAAAGAAAACATAGTTAAGTAATTTGAAGTTGTGATTATATAACTATTCATTTGATGCTAAGTAATCAATGTCATAAATAAAGTTCATACCCGTGAATGACCAGAATTCTAGTCACTGATCATGTTTTTCTATCATCTCTTGTTTAGTCATAACCATTGCTCCCTTCTACTTTTGGTTTTTGCAGTACACAGTTTGGTGTATGACATATTAATGATTAGCTTGATTGTTCTAGGTTTGGTTTTGCTGGAGAATCGGGACCAAGATGTATTATTCAGACAGAAGTTAAGTGTCCAGAAACGAAACAAGTGAAGAAAGTGTTGCATTATTCAAGCAAAGAAGACTTGTATGACCTCCTTGTTGAATTTATCCACAACTTATATTTCCGGTACATAAATGTGATTTTTTAAGTTTGGTGTTTTGCCATCTAATTTTCTTGCAACCTTAAAGATACTGCATGCATTTGAAGATGGCTGTTTTCTGGGTTGTAGGATTGTGTAGTCTGGTAGAAGTTCACCAACGTTTCAGAGGCTAGGGTGACGAGTCTTAATCATTGCCCTGATGATGGAGGCAGAAAGGACCCCTTAAATGTTAGTAAACTTCTGCCAGACTACATGACATTACAACCCAGGAGACAGCCATCTTCAAACTCAACACTGTGAAAATCTCAAATCCTTAATTGCATACATTTATTTCAGGCATCTTCTTGTCAGTCCTAAAGATCGGAGAGTAGTCATTGTTGAGTCATTGCTTTGTCCAACACTATTCAGAGAGACTTTAGCCAAAGTGCTCTTTCGGCATTTTGAGGTAGGTTATACCATTACCAGTAGACTTCTCTTGGTGTGGGGACCGTGTTGATTTTAAGTTGCTGCTGAATGTTACAGTGTAGCAGTTTACACTCCTACTTATTCAGAAGAGAATCTTCAGGCAGAGACCACATATTCACACAGAGGTTTTTGTGGTTAATCCTTTTAAACCCACATATATGAAAAGATCACAATTCATTCTTTACACATCCTTCCCTATTCATGATTTGTAATTATCCTGTCTTGTGCAGTTGATGAAGTGTCATTAATTAAACCAATAAACTGAACTCTAGCTCCATTAGTTCTTATTATATCTCTAGCAATTGATGTAGTCATAATATATCCAAGTAGGAGATTCTGTTCTTAGTAAGTCATCTAATTTTTTGGTCTGTAAGATCATATGCTATTAAGAATGTTAAAATAAATAGCTATATTCCTGTTACCACATTTCATTACCTTTCTAAGTGTCTAAATGTTGTTGCTTTATGAGAGAAGTCCAATGATTCAATGTTTTTTGTATTTGGTTAATACAAATACAGACTAAAATCCTAAAATGGACACTGACAGTTTTCCAACTATCTTTATTGAGACATTTATTAATTATTCTAGATGTTTTTCCTTCCAGCAAGACAATAAAAGTACAATAACTTCTTATCCTTCAAGGTAATTATTAGACTATACTGGAAGCATGGTACTTATGAGATGAGTCACTGTGCTGTAACTGCCATACCAGGTTCTCAGGCCTCAGAGCCATAATTCACAACACTACTAATTTCTGCCTCTTTACTTTGTAATTATTTTGCTTTCAATATGCATTTTCAGGTTTCATCTGTACTGTTTGTTCCATCACACCTGGTGTCGCTGTGCACACTTGGTGTCAACACGGCTGTCATCCTTGATGTGGGATATATAGAGGCAGTTTTAATACCTGTGTTTGAAGGTGTACCCGTATTGCACGCGTGGCAAGCACAGCCCCGGGCTGCGGAAGCTGTTGAGAGGTGCCTATATTTTATGTGCATGCTAACCTTTTAAAATAAAGAGACCATAGCAAAAGAAAACAATCCAGTAAAATATATGCATATAATTACCATGCTGACGAGCAGTTTAACCATCTTTACTGCTAAGTCTAGTGGTTCTATAGGCTATGCAAGAACTGGAAAATATATTAAAACTTACAACAGATAAACTCTTTGTTAAATAAGAGCCAATATGTGTTTAAGTCAAACATTTTGGTTATTATTAGTTTTTCATTAGAATGACAGCCTGTTTGTTGTGAATCGGCATGCTGTGGTTATGTATTTGGAAATTCATATGAAGTGCTATGCCTATCTTATAACTAAATTTTATTATATTTGAGAGATAGGCTATATGGTAATTTTTGAGGTTATCAGGCAAATAAGAGGAAGACTGAATGGACAGATTGCACATAAGCCTATCTTCTGAGTTATCCATTCTAAACCATTATTTTGTGGTTACTTGCCTGAGGGTTGGTCACATCCATCACAAATGCAGTCATCTTGTGCCCATGACCCCGTTTGTGCTCCTTATCATGCAGAACTGTGTGGTATATGTTGTTCACAGGACAGTCATAGTTGTTTGTATGTTTCTTGTTATTTTGTTCAAGCTCACTGAAGGCTTTGTTGTTGAGTCATAACAATGACAAAGAGGACTTTCCAGAATCTGCAATAGAAGATATAAAAGGTTGGTATAAAACACTTGTTTTACAGCAAATAAATTAATTTGATGTAATTATATTTTAAGATGTTAGTTATGAAAAAAGTAACTATTTTGTTGAAAGTGTTTAATTATTTCTGAATTCTGTTTTTTATTTACACTCATAGTTTTGAAATAGCTAACAGAATTTTAGTGTTTGCAGTTGCATTCATTATTACAAACATGTTTCATTGTACACACACTGTTGCTAGTAATTACTGACAGGACGACTATTATATTTTTGTTTCAGTGCGAACATGCTTTGTAACTAGTTTGGAACGAGCTTTGCAACTAGAAACAGTTGAGCCTCCACCAGATGTTGTATATCGAGAGGGTGGTACCAAGATATTCAATATCCCTGGGAAAGTCAGAGAAGCTGTATATGAAGTACTGTTTGAACAGGACAATGATCAGATATCTATTTCTACAATGATCCTTGATGCTATTATTAAGGTAAAATACTTTTATCTTAATTTTAGATACAATTTTATGTCACAGTTATAGATGGCCAAAGTGGGAACAAACAGATGGTTTGTTAGCTGAATGCTCCATTGTTATATTTGGACCAATAAAGAGCCAATCCTTATATTCACTTTCCTGGCCATTGTAATTTTGAACCTGGTTTGTAATGTTGATCTGAACTCCTCAGTGTCCTATAGATATGAGAAAACCCCTTGCAGAGAACATCCTGGTGATGGGCGGCACCGCCATGGCCCCTGGCTTTAAGGCAAGACTTCTGGGTGAACTGAAGTACCTCCTGCAGCAGCCCAAGTATTCATCCAGACTGGCACTTAAAACCTTCAAATTTCACAAGCCACCAGCCAAAGAAAACTATGTTGCCTGGCTTGGAGGTAAGGACTGGCTTCGAAGTAGCTGTCTTCTGCCATCACTCAATTTTATATCAGCAGTTGTACCACTATTGGTAACACTTCTGCAATCTCTTTATTCAACTTCTTTAACCACTTCCTTTTTTATCCCAATTAAATCAGGTTTAACATTTTGTAGTTCACTGACAGATATTTAAAATAATATCCCCATCTTTGGTCCTGAAGATGGAGACAATATGTTTCTCCAAATTTTAGTATCCACTTACAAGTTCACATGGTGTTACAACCCAGGAGACCGTCAACATCAACATCTTCACCACGGACAAGAACCTCAAGTCTCATATGAAGCTCCTCATTACACATTTTTCTGCAGTATGCTGTTTCTTCTTTTTCTTGTTTCTAGATATTCTCATACTTCCTCTTCCTATAGTAAACAATTATAATTAATTCTTTTGATGATAGGAGCCATCTTTGGAGGAACAGATATGATCTCCACGCGATCTCTCACAAAGGAAGCATATTTGAAACACAATAATGTACCGGACTGGGCTGACTTATCATACAACTGCCGAGAAGAAGACAAGATATCATTATGAAGTGTCATAACATTGTTCTCTTTGTACTGATTTTGTTATAATTTCAGCTTTTTTTTACTGTTATTCACAGTATATATCCATGCAGCTGATATAAAGCCATCACCATATATGTGACAATGTATAACACTTATTCTTAATGTATTTAAATTGTCAAATAAAATTTCATCAAACAGTATTCTATGATGATTATCTGTATCCATAAACAATAGACACACAAAATTTGTCGTAATGGAGGTAGGTTCATTTAATGATTCAATACATGACATTAGTAATCTCAATCTGTCTTTTGATAGGGTCAACAATCACTTCTCCCCATTTTGATGGGAAGGAATCCTCACTTCATATTCATCAAGAATGACAAGGTGAATGTATGCCCAGTGTGGTTTATGGCACCCTTAAGTTCATCCACAGAAAATGGTGAATTAACAGTAACACTGGAAGTATTTGATCTTCAATTAGTTTTCCTTTTTGCCTACCAGTTTACATGTCTCACACATGACCACTTCACAGGCATCTCAGGCACAGTACTTCTGCTCCACTGCTTTTTCAACACTCATGATCAACACAATTCTATCACTGACTTCACACTTCTTTATTGCACAGTCAATTCAACAACTGCCCCTCACCCCACGGGTTTATGATAATATAAGGACACAGGACACAATACATTCTTCAAGAAGGTATGAGTGATTATGAGCATGTGTGACTGTTTATGAACCTCTTTCTGTTTCTTACTGTTGTTCTGAAATATTTAAATACAAAAATAGTTCTTCTGACTTTTTTGTTTAACTCTGACAATGATTTTGATTTCATGACATTCTAATGTACATACATTTTTTCTATATTATTTCAAGATAGTTCTTTCCTGGCTTCTAAAATAATTTGTTTTATATTTACAATACTTACGTTTCACCTAAAAATTATCAATAAAACATACGAATATACGATAACAATGAACAATTAAGAAGTAAAATATATGTGTTTCTCCAATGAATGGAAGGATGATTACAATTACCGAAGATGACCCTCCATATGCTTATATTTTCCACGTAACTTCAACATATTTAAGAAATGTCTCCAGTTCATGTAAATACCATCCTAATCTTCAGTGAATAATCTTCTGGAATACAAGTGACAATTCTGTAAATATTACACCACAAGAAAGTTCACATATTTCAAAAGAAATATAGCAGCATTCCTGTATGAGCTGGGACCTTGAAAATATGATTCTTAAGTGAAATGACTGCAAACAGAAGTACTATTTCCCATAACAACAAAGCATCTGAGACATTCTGTACATAAACTATTGAAAATTTCTAAGTAATACAATTTAATAAGCAACATTAACAGGCAATATTACAGAAAAATCAGTAATACAGGATCACAGAAATAAGATGAAATCCATATTCAGTAGTAGAAATTAAGCACTTTGCTTCTACTGTTAATGAAAGTTAAATTTGCATTGTGGCAGAACTTTGCTAAAAGATGTGATCACCACCATCAGTAAACATAACCAGTTACTATGTTACAATTTAATGTACAAGTTAAAAAACGACAACTCAGGGATAGTAAAAATAGTGTACTCTTGAACGAACTGGTTTTATTTTTACCGTTATTTAAAACTGCATTTATAGAGATATTTACAAATGTCAAGCTTCCACCCAAGTTGACAATCACTGAATTGTGCCCATCATTCTAAAAAGTCTCTACACCTGTTATAACACTAAATTTGTAATTATGAAAATTTACAATTAAAGTTAAAATAGGCTCCATCTTATTTCTATCAATATGCAGAATAACAGAAATAATTACATATTTCTAGCCAGTCCCTGCCAAACTTTGGTGGCTGTAGAACAATGATGCACTGAGACAAAGGCAAACAGAACAGATAACAATGTTGTTAATTTTGATACCAATAATAATAATGTAATAGTAACAGTAATGTATATTTTAACAATGCAATACGAACAAGATATGAATTGGAATTAAACTCAATGGCGTCTTGATGTATTTTGAAATGTTTCTTGTAAAGAGAACCTTATTGCAAGTATCTAAGAAAATGACAGATGACACAAATCTTTTTGTAATACATTCTTGTTTTATGTAGATGATATCATTTTGTTATATCATTCTGCAACATAATTCTAAAATACTGTAATTGTTAATACAAATAATACATAAATAGTGTAAATATATGACAAATAAACATACAGGATTAAAATGAGTAGTAATGCAGGTACAATAATTATTTAAAATTTTATAAGCAATGCTACTTTGTATGATTACATATGTATCCATGTAATACTGACCCTACAAATTAGCAAAGAAGTCAAAAGATAGTTCTGGTGATGTGACAGTAGGACTGAGTATATTACAGGGTTCACATTATATTTCATAATTGCCTATGCCCCTGAAAATGGCATACAGCCATTTAGATCACACTTTCTATTACACTTCATATCCTATAACAAATTTTTCCTAGATTTTCAATTTTAGTCTAATTTACTATGTGAGTTTATGAAACTCTGTTCTGAAGTCTTCATTTTGTGTAGTCCTAATAACTTATCCTCTGCTAATTTTATTTGATCTCTGTCTTTTCTATTATGTAAGTCTAACTCTTAACATCAGTGTACATACACACCAAACCTCTCTAATATACTTTATACATATCCACTAATGAGATATTTTGAGTCCGAAACCTGCAACATACCTGGAGCAATGGTAATATAAAAAGGCATGAAGGCAAAGCTGTCCTTGGTCTTTCAGCACCACCACATAGATGTATAAGGGATTGGAAAGAACCCAGTACTCGCTAAACAGGAAGCTACTAACATTAAGTGTTCTGCACAGAATACCTTATGAACACATTCTGTCTGTTACATCTTACAGCTGAGAGATCATGTTGCAAACTACAAGTGGCCATGTGGTGCCATCTATCAGTCACCATTTTAACTACATGATATCAAACACACTGGATTATGTTAATTATGATCATTATTATTAAACGGTGATTGAGGAATCTGATTACTGTTATTAGATTATTTCATTTTATCATACATCATTAGGCATTATTTTTGTTTAGATTAAGAGAACAATTCCTTCTGGACATGTTCTTGGGCTTACTCTACCTTCAACCTCCTGCTCCCAGGCTTTTGTAATCCATGGCTTTGCCTTGGACTTGGCTACCCCTAGCCATCCCACACACCAATTTACAGCTGTGGACCTGCCCACTAGGAGGCCCAGGGGTGGCCAAATCCAGGGAATAGGCCACAAATGGAGCTTGTTCCCCAGGGTTTGCCATTCAAGGGGCAACATCCTATCTGTCAATAAAAGCTTTCAGTCAAAAGATTATACTTCCATCTATCAGTGACCATACAAACTATGTGATATCACACACAATGGAGGTGCAGAGTACACAATGCCAATCTTGTTTTAAGATTTCCAAACAGCATATGTGCTGTAATATATTTAATTTCACAAATTATAATAAATTAATCTATACCCAGACTTGAACAGTGCATGTCAGTGCAGTTCATTACACTTCCTTCATGCACAATAAAGCAAGGTCGTGCAGGTAATAAATACTCTATAGAACATGGCATTCTCCCAAATTCTACTGCAGTTAAAATTCAAAATCAACCTTGCTTTATTTATCTCCACAGAAATATTTTCCTACAGATGTGAGACAACACTAAAGTCATGCCACTATTCAAGTATACATAATACAAAGGAATGACAACTTATAAAACATTTAATGTAGTGAAGCCACAGATATTTTTCTGAAAACCTGAATAGCTTTCAGATGAAACTTGGACATATGAACAGTGAAAGAAAAGTTATCAGCTTTACAATGAAGTCAATACCTCCAATCTCTATTTAAATTTCTTAAAAAATGTCTAAAATTATCAATCAAAAATCCACACTGGGAGGAAAAAAGGCAATTTCACATGCCCCCTCATAACTATATATACAACTTGTATACCAAGCAATATTTTACCATGAACAAAATATGTTTGAAGGCCACATACAGTTTTAAATAACATTCTGATTTTGACACTCAAAATTATATAAACGCTTTTTGATTATTCAATATGTAAAAGCATTTAGGCACTGATTTCATTTTGGGTATGCAGAAGAAATCAAATTCAAAGATTTTAACAAAACTCTGTAACACCTTAGGACTACTAATTTCTAATTTCCTATTATCTTTCATGAAAATAATGATCACACTTCAGAATAACTACTTTTGGGGAATAGTTATATATGGAAGTGTTTTATCATTTTGTCTGCCCTCTATTTCACACAGATTATCCTGGCAAACATTTTAATTTTTTCTCAATAGAAACAACCTTCAATGCTCTGAGCAATACCAAAGACAGTGCACATGCTCCATACATGCATGCGGTAAAATAAAATTAAAAATAAACAGGATTATTGCTTTGACAAATGTTCCTTAAAATGATGTACACAGCACTGTAATCTATTCAGTCACTTTATGAAGCTGCCCAATAAGACACAAATGGACGGCTTAGACAAATGGTTGCTACATTCCTAACAGTTTAAATAATACTGAGTGAAGTAAAAAAAATAGCTGCCTATATGTATGCAAAACAGGCTTAAATTTACACTTCCTCCCTATGCTGATACAATACTATACAATTCAACTACCTTATAGCAGTGTGATTTGGCATTTCATTTAATGTATTATATACATTTAAGGATTTTTTGCTGTATTTTTTCTACATTCTTCCATGTTATTACATCACATACACAACATTACCACATTCATACATATCAGTACAGTAAAACCTCATTAATTTGGACTGTCACAGATGAAGGTTTTTTTTTCTATGGCTCTCCAGTCCGTATTCTGTCCATGGCCTCCTCTGAATGGTGAAAAGCCCAAATTATAGAACACTGCTACATGTAAATATTTCAAGTCATAGTTCATAACAACAAACTCCGCCTCTGTGATGTATCTTGATATGTCACAGTGCCGGTCCCAAGCCCGGATAAAGGAGGAGGATGAATGGATGGTTGGTGAGCTTTTAGGAGGATGCCAGTGCTGGACTGACTACCTCAATAAATCTAGAAAAGTGCTCAAGCTGATAATTTTTCAGCACAACCATCAAATCCTACCCTCAAGGAGGGGGGATGAGGGCAAGTACCCAGCGCCTCAAAACTGAGTCTTTCTGGCTATGGTATGGTAACCCAGATAGAAGAGTCCCTGGTCCTCCAGGTTGGGGTTGAGCGCAGGGCTAACAACCCAGCCTTGTAAAAAAGAATAAAGTTGAGAATAATTTGATGAATGAAGCCGGACTGTCCTCACGAAGACGAACATTAGCAAGGAACAAGGATAAAAATATGGTACTAAATATTGGAACGTGGAATGTGCGCACTCTGTTACAAGTAGGAGCAATGAATGGTATAGCTGATGAAATTATAATATATAGAATGGAAATTGTCGCTATACAA